GATTATCATCAGACTTTTCAAGAGCATCACTTTTGTGCCAGAAGAAAATGGACTGGCACATTTAAGATATTCCAGAAAAGAAAATGTGAGCCAAGAATGTAACGTCCAGGTCCTTGCGCGTGGAGCCGAGCGACTATGGTGGCCCGGGTGTGGTCGCTGATGAGGTTCCTCATCAAGGGAAGTGTGGCTGGGGGCGCCGTCTACCTGGTGTATGACCAGGAGCTGCTGGGGTCCAGCGACAAGAGCCAGGCAGCCCTAAAGAAGGCTGGGAAAGTGGTTCCCCCGGCCATGTACCAGTTCAGCCAGTACGTGTGTCAGCAGACAGGCCTGCAGATACCCCAGCTCCCAGCTCCTCCAAAGATTCACTTTCCCATCTGTGACTCCTGGAATGCAGGAATCATCACAGTGATGTCAGCTCTGTCGGTAGCCCCCTCTAAGGCCTGCGAGTACTCCAAGGAGGGCTGGGAGTACGTGAAGGCGCGCACCAAGTAGTGAGCCAGCTGGCTGCCTGCCCCAGCCAGAAGGGACAGGGCTGCCACCAGCCTGGGACCCCACTCCAGGGGCAGCTCCCGGCCTTGCCGGCCCAATAAAGGACTTTGGAAGTGTTAAAAAAAAAAGAATGTAACGTCCAGCAAAAGTTACCTTTAGAAGTGATCAGCACCAACTTTTATCTATATGCAGATATTCAGAGACTATTATTCCCATGAATTTAGGGAATCTAATGGAGGATGAGCTGCAGACAAGTAAAAGACCTGTTGTCCTGAATTTACACTGGAAATTTTTTTGAACTCACATTGTATTTTATATATAAATAATTTTTTTTCTAGTTCTGTCTACTGCAAGGGCATAGAAACAATAATCAACCCTTAGTATTATCCATAATTCCCAGATTGTGGTCTTGGAATACTTCCTATTTAAAAAGCTAGGCTTTGGACCGGCATGGTGTCTTACTCCTGTAATCCCAGCACTTTGAGAGGCTGAAACAGGCAGATCACGTGAGGTCAGGAGTTCGAGACCAGCCTGGCCAACATGGTGAACATACAAAAATAGAAAAAATTAACCGGCCATGGTGGTGGGTGCTTGTAATCCCAGCTACTCAGGAGGTGAGGCAGGAGAATTGCCTGGACCCGGGAGGAGGAGATTGCAGTGAGCTGAGATGGTGCCACTGGACTCCAGCCTGGGCAAAAAAGTGAGATTCAGTCTCTAAAAAAATAAAAGAACTGGGCTTCTTGAGAAATATCTTTTTCCAGGTCAGGGGCAGGAAATGTTAAGATGATCCTGGAATGTCTCAACATCCCAGATAGCAAAGAAGCTTTCGATGAATGGTAGATCATGTCTAAGGGATGCAGGAGCCAACTTAGAGAGGTTATCATTGGCCAAAGATGGAATTATTTGAGCTTCAGTAGGTGTAAGAATCTCAGTGGATTAAAGCCCATTTAAATCCACAGTTTCCCAATAGACTGAGTCTCGCCCTGTTGTCCAGGCTGGAGTGCAGTGGCACAATCTCAGTTCACTGCAACCTCCGCCTTTCAGGTTCAAGTGATTCTCCTGCCTTACTGGTACTACAGATGCGTGCCACCATGCCTGGCTAATTTTTTGTATTTTTAGTAGAGATGGGGTTTCACCATGTTAGCTAGGATGGTCTCGATCTCCTGACCACGTGATCTGCTCACCTTGGCCTCCCAAAGTGCTGGGATTACAGGTTGGAGCCACTGTGCCCGGCCCTAATGATATTTTTTAAAAGTAAACCCTAACTAGTCACCTTCTGAAGGATAGTAGATACTCACTTATTGTCTTGAAAACTGAGTAAATAAAATAATTGAACATTTATGCTGTCTTTTCTGTAAGAATGGTGCCACTGGGTAACCCCATAGGACAGGAGTTGGCATCTGTTGGACCCAAACCGTGCCTGTTCATGTATATATTGTCCATGGCTATTTTCATACTACGACCTGAGTCGAATAGTTGCAGCAGACCATATAGCTTTCATGGCCTAAATAGCCAACCTCTGATGCAGTAGGTGAGAGAAGTGATTTCAGCTAATAAGAGAACAAGATGGTAGAATTAGAGTTTTGCTTTTAAGAGTGAAAACAATTGTTTTGTGCCTCTTGATGCAAAAGAACAAAATTTTAGTCTTGCCAAAAATGTAAACCTAAGTCATCAAGTATCTAGTCCAGTAGTCAGTTTGCAAGAAGTTACAGAGGTCAGAGGAATATGTTGGTTGAGCTACACCATGAGTGTGCAGCCGGCAAGGTAGTCTTTGGGACACTGTGGGTCGAATAGCCCGAGATTTTGAGATTGAAAGCCGCCGGGCACGGTGGCTCAAGCCTGTAATCCCAGCACTTTGGGAGGCCAAGGCAGGTGGATCACGAGGTCAACAGATCAAGACCATCCTGGTCAACATGGTGAAACCCCGTCTCTACTAAAAATACAAAAAATTAGCTGGGCATGTTGGCGTGTGCCTGTAATCCCAGCTACTCAGGAGGCTGAGGCAGGAGAATTGCCTGAACTCAGGAGGCGGAGGTTGCGGTGAGCCGGGATCGCGCCATTGCACTCCAGCCTGGGTAACGAGCGAAACTCCATCTCCAAAAAAAAAAGAGATTGAAAGCCAAATCAAAGTAAAATAAAAGGAGCAGGATTAAGCTGCAGTGGCGAGGGATACACAGTATATGTGAAATTGTAAAGAACCTCTAGACATTAATATAAAAGGCACATAGTGGTTGCTTTTGAAGAGGACTGATAAAGATGGAGCACACAGGGTAGGTAGCAGGTGAAGTTCTATCTTTTTTCTTGGGTGGTAGTCAGAAGGGTGTCTTGCCTTATGAAAATTCAGTAAGCTGTATGTTTGTGTGGTTTTCTATATTGTGCTTTTAAAAAAGAGGAATTGAATGTTGTGAGGTACTTTTGCTGATGAGGACTCTTGGTATTACTAGATTTATTCACGAGTGTGAAGTGGTACTGCAAGCAGTTGTTAACTGTTCATGTGCTTACTCACTGTTGTACAGTAAAATCTGTGGCAGGTTTTTAAAATCTAAACATGCATCTGTATTGGCATAAATTGTTGATAGCCTTTTTTCTTTTGTTTGAGCAAATAGCATTCTATCATTTCTCTGATGACTTTATTTTTGCTAGTGAACCCACCTCACAATATGTATACCTTTTTTTTTTTAATTGCATTTTAGGTTTTGGGGTACATGTGAAGAACATGCAAGATAGTTGCATAGGTACACACGTGGCAGTGTGATTTGCTGACCTTTTTTTTAATCTCGCCATCTATCTGTCACTAGAAGTTTATTTTGCCAATCTTTTCAAAGGCTTAACAACAATTATTCTGGCTTTATTGATTTTTTTTTTGGTTTCTTTTTTTTTTGAGACGGAGTTTTGCTGTTGTTACCCAGACTGGAGTGCAATGGCACGATCTCGGCTCACCACAACCTCTGCCTCCTGGGTTCAAGCAATTCTCCTGTCTCAGCATCCCGAGTAGCTGGGACTACAGGTGTGCACCATCATGTCTAGCTAATTTTTGTATTTTCAGTAGAGATGGGGTTTCACCTTGTTGACCAGGATGGTCTCGATCTCTTGACCTGGTGATCCACCCAGCTCTGCCTCCCAAAGTGCTGGGATTATAGGCGTGAGCCACCGCTCCCGGCCTGACTTCTGCTTTTTTTTTTTAAGAGGTGAGTGAGGTCACACACTTCTCACCTAGGCTATAGTACAGTGACATAATTGTAGCTCAGTGCAACCTCTAACTCCTGGGCTCAAATGATCCTCCACCTCAGGGACCATAGGCACATGCCACCATGCCTAGCTAATTTTTAAGTTTTTTTTGGTAAAGGTGGAGTCTCACTATGTTGTCCAGGCTGATCTTGAACTCCTGAGCTCAAGCAATCTGCCCACCTCAGCTTCCCAAAGTCCTAGGTTTACAGGTATGAGCCACTGCACCTGGCCCAACTTCTCTTACTTTTAATTTATCCTTTTATATTTTACAAATATTCATCTCAGCCTTTTTCTCAAATGTAAGCATTTAAGCTGTAATTTTTTCTTGATGTGCCCTGTTTACTACATATGACAAGTTTTAATACGTCATGTTTTCATTATCAGAGTGTCTTTAATTTCCATTATAATTTTTATCATTGGCCCATGCATTATTTGAAAGTGTGTTTTTTATACAGTATTTGGAAGTGGTATGTGTATTTGTTTTTAATCCTTTTTACTATTTGCACTGACTTAATTGCACTGTGATTAGATAATGTAATTGTTGCAATGCCTAGTTTTTGAAAATTGTTAATTAACACTTGCTTAGTGCAATAATCAAGTTTATGCATCTTCCATGTGCATTTTGAAAGAAAGTAGACTAATTGTTGGATTGGGAATTTTACATTCATTCAGTAGATAAAGCTCTACTGTTAACATTATTCAGATCTTGACCTTGCTGAGTTTTTGTGCTGCTTGACTTACCACTTGAGAAAGGGTATTGGAATTGCCCAACATTATGACAAATTTATCTTAATTTCCTTGTACTTATATCACTTTTTGCTTTATTTTGATGTTGTTATATATTAATAGTGGGTGCATACATATTTAAATTTGTTAGGTCTTCTTTGCAAATTGAATCCTTTATCTTGATTTATGGCCCTCTGCAGCAAAAGATGTTTTTATCTTAAAGTCAGTTTTGTCTGATATTAATGCAGCCATTGAATTATATTAGCTTTATATATCTGGTTTCCCTGCCTTCGTTTTCAGTCTTCTCTCTCTGTTGGCCCTTGGACTGCACAAGTTTGAACTGTGTGGGTCCACTCATACACTTACATGTGGATTTTAAAAAATAAATATATTGGAAATTTTTTTTCATATGTGGCAATTTGAAAGACATTACAGATAGATGATATAACCTAGAAATACTGACAGAATTAAGAAAAATTTAGATGTCATGAATACATAAAGTATATGTAGCTACTAGACTTTTAACATTTATTTTCATGAAATATACGCAAATCTATTATGAAAAGTTTAAATTTATCAAAATTATGCACACACAGACTACATGATGCCATTTGTAGTTAAGAGAAATGTAAGCAAACATGAAAATGCAGTAGCCATATAAAATTCAGTGTAGTATATACTGTACTGTAATAATTTTGTAGTTATCTTCTGTTGCTTTATGGTGAGCTGAGGTGTTTTGAATGTCCATTTAAAATGCTGTGTGATGCTTACCATCTCTGTGCAAGCAGTTCAGCTCTCCCGTAAACTGTGTATTGCTGTAAAAGGTGATCTCACGGTTCTTAACGTATTTTTCATCTTGTTCCGTGCAATACTGTAAACCTTGAATAACACCAGGGGATCCATAATGAAGTGCTACTAGTGATGCTGGACTTCTCTTAAGAAGTAGGGAAAAGTCATGACGTTACAAGAAAAAGTTGAATTGCTCAATATGTACCAGAGATTGAGGTCTGTGTCTGCAGTTATTCACCATTTCAAGATAAATGAACTTAACATAAGGACCATGGTTAAAAGAAAAAGAAAAAATTTATGAAGCTGTCACTGGAGCTACATTGACAATAGGAGTAGTTAAATGTTTGGGAAGTCGAAAGTTATATGTGGGTTTCAACTTTTGTGGGGAAATGTTGTTAAAGCACTCATGTTGTTTAAGGATCATCTGTATATTGTATTTTATATCATAAAGCTAGATTTTATCTTTTAGTCTAATCTGAGTTTGCCTTTTATTGGAGCATTTAGACCAGTCACATTTATTACAATTATTGATACAGTTGGATTAGTTTCCATCATCATTTCTGATTTGTATTTTCTGTTTTTTCTCATTTTTTTTAAGGTTAATTAATTACTGTTATTGTTGAAAACCCTAACCCTGGTTCTACAATTATAAACTAGTTTACTATTTAAAATTACCATTTCTGTTCTTCTTTTTTTTTTTTTTTGAGATATGGAGTCTTGGTCTGTTACCAGGCTGGAGTGCAGGGGCGCAATCTTGGCTCACTGTAAACTCTGACTCCCTGGTTCAAGCGATTCTCCTGCCTCAGCCTCCTGAGTAGCTGGGATTACAAGCATGAGCCATGACACCCAGCTAATTTTTGTATTTTTAATAGAGATGGGGTTTTACCATGTTGGCCAGGATGGTCTCGATCTCCTGACTTCATGATCTGCCCACATTGGCCTCCCAAAGTGCTGGGAATGTAGGCATGAGCCACTACGCTTGCCCATGCTGTTTTTTTTTTAAGTGGTTATCAGTGAAATATTACATGCAAATTTAATTTAGTATTCTAAAAGTTAATATCCTGACCCCATTCTCAAACAGTAAAAGGACTTTCGAATTTTTGAAGAGCTTCAGTCTTTACTCTCCTAATTTACTTTTCAGTGTTTCAATTTGATCTTTTTTAAATATATAAGTTGGACAACATTCTTGTAATTTTATCCAGGCAATGTTTTTTCAGGTTTACCTCCTGTTTATCATTCTACTTATTCTTAACATCTCTAAGTGTTATTTGGGGATCATTATTTTCCAATATTTTGAAGTATTTTTTTTTTGGAAGTTTCATTGGAACATGTCTGTTGGCAGTGTATTTTCCAAGAGTCTCTTCACCTGTGAGTGTTTTCTTTGTGTCCTTGTGCAGTAGTTTTGCTGGATACTAAAATCTAGGTTAATGGTTATTTGCTCTCCCACCTTATATATGTGATTATCCCATTGTCTTCTGCATTCCATTGTTGAGTGGAGTTCTGTCATTCTAACTGTCTGTCGTTCCTTTGTAGGTGATCTGTCCTTTTTCTCTGGCTGCTTTCAAGATCTTCTCTTTGTCTTTGATGTTCTGCAGTTTCACTACGATGTATCTAGGCGTGGATTTCCTTTTATTTTTCCTGTTTGGTATAATGTATGGAAAAATCCCATTTGTTTGAAATAAAATACTTTACATTATGAAATATATGCTCACCATAGAAAATTTGAGAAAACAAAACATATCAATGTAATATCTCCTGACAGATGAGAAAATAATCAAATAGTATAAAAAGATTGAAAATAAAAAGCAACATTCTTTGCTACATTCTTCTCTATACTGGTCCCATTCCTCAGAATCCTCCACTTTTAAATGCTTCAGTTCCCTTTTCCATGTTGTAATAATATGCTTTATACTGTTTCTTCATTGATGAACTATAGATAGTATCTGTTGATTTCTTGCTATATGTCAGGATCTAGCTCATTTATACTTTTCCCTTGCTTCCAAACTCATACAGCAAAATCAGTTTTTAATTCATTTATTGGTTACTTTAGTACTTGTAAGCAGTATACCTAAATATTTCTTGTCTGGTTATATTTTGGTATATTTTGACTTCTGAAAGATATGAACATTCACATTCTCCTTCAATTCCTTTTTTTTGGAGGTGGGGGAGGTTGAGTCTCAGTTTGTCACCCAGGCTGGAGTGCAGTGGGACAATCCTAGCTCACTGCAACCTCTGCCTCCTGGGTTTAAGTGATTCTTCTGCCTCAGCCTCCTGAGTAGCTGGGACTACAGCTAGGAGCTGTAGGAGCCTAGGAGTTTGAGACCAGTGTGGGCAACATAGACCCTCATCTATATATATATATTTTTTTTAATATTTTTTAATTAGCTAGATGTGATGATATGCACTGGTAGTCATGGCTACTCTGGAAGATTGCTTGAGCCCTGGCGTTCGAGGTTTCAATGAGCTGTGCCATGCCTAGCTAATTCTTTATATTTTTAGTAGAGATGTGGTCTCACTATGTTGCCCAGGCTGGTCTCAAACTCCTGAGCTCAGGCAGTCTGCCCACCTCAGCCTCCAAAGTGCTGGGATTATAGGTGTGAGCCACCATGCCAGGCCCCTCCAGGTCTTATATTTTATTTCTTGCTGCCACCTACATTCTGTCCTGCCTCCACCTTTGAATTGCCACCTGTACTTTTACATTGTCAAAGCTGATCAAATTTACATTTTGTTTTCAACTTTAGTTAAGACTTAGTAGATTGACTCTAAGAGTTGATAAACAGTAAGCATTTACACTATTAAGACTATTTAGGCTGGGCATGGTTGGTGGCTCACACCTGTAATCCCAGCACTTTAGGAGGCTGAGGGTGGGAGCTTTGCTTGAGCCTAGGAGTTTGAGACCAGCATGGGCAACATAGACCTTCATCTATATATATATATATCTTTTAATGTTTTTTAATTAGCTAGATGTGATGATGTGCACCGATAGTCATGGCTACTCTGGAAGATTGCTTGAGCCCTGGCGTTCGAGGTTTCAGTGAGCTGTGATTATACCAGCCTGGGTGACAGAGCAAGACCCTGTCTCTAAAAACAAGAAAAAATTTAAAAAAATTTAAAAGACTATATAAGTATTTACTGCAGGGCCAAATTTATACTCTATTTCTTGCACGGCTTTGTGTAGGGACTCTCTAGGGTTTCTTTTTTTAATTTTTCCCCTTTCATACAGTTTTTTTTGTTTGCCTTAGGTTCTTCTTTTTTCCCTTCTTGTATTGCCTACCTGTACTGTAGCTTAAAAGTCTATCACTCTGTGCTTTGAATCTTTGGGTTTCCTGCCTGTTCTAGGTACCTTCCTCCTAGAGCCTCTCTCCTTCTTTTCTGACCTGACTGCTTACTCTAGGCCTACTCCAGGCCATCATCCTGGGATGTTCTCCTCCCCTGAGTCAGCTCTGCATTTCCTGAATTACATTTTGTCTTCTCCGTTCATTTCTCCATTTTATAATCACATCACGAAGAAACTCCTTAAGCAAGTATGGAAGGTTAATTTTCTGAGTGCTTGGAAATCTGAAGCTAGCCTTGTATTTTTTGATACTTTGGCTAGGTATGGAATTCTAGGTTGAAGTCATTTTCTTCAAAACTTTGAAGGCGTAGTTTGATTATCTTGAGGCTTCATTGTTTATGCTGAGAAGTGGTTGCCCATCTTATACCGTTGTGAAATATGTGGGAATTTTTTCTCTGGGAATTTTGTTTTGTTTTGTTTTGTTTTTCCTGTGTTCTTGGTGTCTAAAATTTCACTGTGATATTTCTAGATGCTAGTTAGATACATTGGGCACCCTTTTAATTTGAAAATCCATTTTCTTCAGTGAGAGAAATTCTCTTGCATTATTTGTTTTAAAATTTACTGACCTTGTTTTCATTGTTCTTTCATGGAAATTCTGTTAGTTGAATGATAAGCTCTTACTTTGTCCTGTCAGTTGTATATCTTTTCTTGTCATTTTTGACTTGGTCTTGTTGGTCTGCTCTTGAATACTTCCTTGACTTTGTCTTTAACCTCCTTACTGAACTTTTTAAAAATGTAGGCAAGCATATTTTTAAATTTCCACAAACTTTTTTTTTTTTCTGTTTTTCATAGTACCCTATTTTGTGGATACAGTATCATCTTAACTATGTCTGAAGATCCTAAGTAGAGGGAATTTTTTTTTTCAAGGAATTCACTCGTTTCCTAATTAATGGAGTCAGAGTCAGAGTTTATGCTTTTTTTCTTGCCCTTTCATTTGTGGGATTTTCTTTCAACAACATATGCAGATACAGTTTTTAGTTTAAGGAAAGGTAATGCAGAGGCTTACTTAGAGTTGTGTTGTGGGCTGAGCTTTTTTTTTTTTTTTGAGACGGAGTTTCGCTCTTATTACCCAGGCTGGAGTACAATGGTGCGATCTCGGCTCACCGCAACCTCCGCCTCCTGGGTTCAGGCAGTTCTCCTGCCTCAGCCTCCTGAGTAGCTGGGATTACAGGCACATGCCACCGTGCCCAGCTAATTTTTTGTATTTTTAGTAGAGACGGGGTTTCACCATGTTGACCAGGATGGTCTCGATCTGTTGACCTCGTGATCCACCCGCCTTGGCCTCCCAAAGTGCTGGGATTACAGGCGTGAGCCACCGCGCCCGGCCAGGCTGAGCTTTTTCTGCAGGCAGGTTTATCTTTAAATGAAACAGAGAAGGAGCTGCATTTGGCCTTGCAGTTGTGGAGGAATTTTTTGGGGGAGCAGGTTGGTATGCTTACAGTCCCACTATTTGTCTGTTAAAAATATTTAAATTTTGTCTTTTAAATGTCTGTCTGTGGCAATACCATCACAAACCTTTTTCTCTGCCTTTTGTCCTCCTTGGTTTTTGCTCATTGCTCCAATCTCTCACAGTTGGATGACCCTTTGTTTCATCCAGATTCAAGGCTTTATATATCATCTCTGCACTATGACTGTCACATTTCTGTCGCCAGCCTGGACGTTGCTCTGAATTCCCAATTTCTGTTCAACCATTTTATATTTCTTCTTGGATATATAATAAATCATTCCAAACTTGTCCAAAACTCAACTATGAATTTTCCTCTCTAGTCTGTTCTTCCTGCAGTCTTCCTCATTTTATTTTAATGGCAACTTCACCTTTCCAGCTTCTGGGACAGAAACCTGTTGCCATTCCTTCACTCTCTCTCCTTTCCTTCCTCTTCCCCCTCTACGTCTGTCTCCCTCTTTTCCTTGTTCCACCTGTCTACCTCTACCTCCAGATTTGTGTAATTCACCACCGTTTATCACTTCTGCCTCTACCACCCATCAAAGTCACCGTCTGGTCGGACGTAGTGGCTTATGCTTGTAATCCCAGCACTTTGGGAGACGAAGGCCGGTGGATCACATGAGGTTAGGAGTTCAAGACCAGGCTGGTCAGCATGGTGAAACCCTATCTCTTCTAAAAATAGAAATGTTAGCTGGGCATGATGGCACGTTTACTCCGGAGGCCAAGGTACAAGAATCACTTGAACCTGGCGGAGGTTACAGTGAGCTGAGATCACATCACTGCACTCCAGCCTTGGCACCACAGCAAAACTCTGTCTCAAAAAAAAAAAAAAAAAAGCAACAACAAAAAACAAAAGCAAAGTCACCATCTCTGATTTGCCTTGATTACTTGGTTATTGGAATAGTGTTCTTACAAGGTATGCCTGCTTTCAAACTTGCCTTCCTTCAGGCTTTTCCACAAAGCAGCAGAGTGATCCTTTAAACTGTAAATTAGATCACACTACTCTACAGCTTAGAACCCCCCGGGGGCTCCCTATCATACTGCAAGTCAAAGTCTTTTGCTGTTGCATCACTCACCTCCCTCCGTCTACTCTGGCTCCCTGTCGTTGCTGCTGCTTCTGCACACTGGCCTGCTTGTCCTTCAGGACATTTGAAGAGGCATGCATCTCAGATGCTTTTGCCCTCTCCTGGGAATGTTTACTTCCGGATATGCTTATGTCTCATCTATGTGTCATCTTTGATGACATCTTTCTCTGACCTGTCTCCCTCCTTTTTAAAGCTTTATTTTTCTCCATAACGTTTGTCACCGTCAAATACATAGTTTATGTTTTTGTAGTTTAGGTATTTTTTTGTCCAGACTTAGGTCTTTACTTGTCAACATGAAATGTTTTAACATATGTTTATTTTGGGGGTCGGTCTTGAGAGCTATGTCCTTCCCCATCTCAACAGAATCCATCCTTTTTGAGCGGGGATTTGTGTGTTTGTTGTATATGGATGTTACTGAGTGCCCAGAGCAGTACCTGGCACACAGTAGTAGCAGCTTAGTCAATGTTTGTTGTTTGAGTGGATGTCACTCCTGCCTTGCATCTAACCTGCAGTTTTCCAGGGCCTCATTTGCGGTTTTGTCTGCTCTGCCTGACAGCCAGTATTTGTCCGTATATTTTCTGTTATCCAGAGATAGTTGACATTTCATCTGCTCTGACCACCTTGTAACCCCCATCTCTAAATCAGTGATCTGTTGTATTTTTGAACTAACAATTTTTGTATAGTAGTCATTTTTAAATATGTATACCCAATATATATATATTTTATTTATGTACACATGCTATATTGGTATGCATGTTAGAAAAGATAAGAATAGAAATCCAAAGATCATAAGGTAGAGATGTAAATAGTAAGTTTTTAAATGCATTTTTATGGACTCTTCAGAAGGAGAGATTATAATTGTATAATTGTATGTACTTGATATATTGTGTTGGAGTGGAAGCACTGTGAAAGATTCTTAGTAAAGGGGGGATTTTATATTCCAAGAAAATGGAAAATCCCCTGCCTTCCTCAGAGGGAAGCATGCACTTAGAAGTTTGACTTGTATTAGTGTCGTCATCTAGGTATTTCTTATATCTGTGAACATGTGCACGCTTTGTATATAAAGTGGAATTACACGTTTACTTATGTACACATACACATGTACGTATAAAGCAGGAATTACACCACACAGAGCTCTCTGAGATGTGTTTTTTTGTTCCACTTAATGTATCAAGAGTCCTCGAGTATGGACCCAGGACCCAGACTGCCTAAGGTGCAGACCCAGTAGTTTACTAGTTGACTTAAACCTTTCTGTGCCCCAGTTTCCTAATCTATAAATGAAGGATAACAGTAGCACTTACTTCAGAGTTATTGGTAGAAGTGAATGTTAAAATACGTAAACTTTCTCTGCTGATGAATATTTATATTGGAGTCTTAGGAAGGGTCCTTGCTTATTTTCCATTCTAAAGTTGGGCTGGACACAGTGGGCTATATGAGTGCCATCAGATGGGCTCTTGTTTCTCTACGACCCGTTCTGTTAGACCTCTTTCCTACTTTTTCACTTGAGAGATTATTTGTCCTCTAGTGAGCCAACTGGTTTGCAGATGGTACTTGGCTGAGAGTGTCTTGCTGTTAATAGTTACTATGGATGTCCTGTGTCAGCTGGTTCTGTTAAAAAAAAAAAAAAAAGGCTGTGAATCCAAAGCCTTCTGAATTTTGAAAATTATTTTCTGTCTGGAATTTTGAACACTGATTCATATGGTGGAGGACTGAATACAGATTTTTATTTTATAAATTCCAGCACTTAGCATGTTCTCGATTCTATTATTGTAAGTGACATCTATTTGACTACGAAACCAAAGACTACAATTCTTTATAAGGATTCCTCTTTTTTTTTTTTGAGACATAGAGTCTCACTCTGTCACCCAGACTGCAATGCAGTGGTGTGATCTCACTTACTGTAACCTCTGCCTCCCAGGTTCAAATGATTCTTATGCCTCAGCCTCCCAAGTAGCTGGAATTACAGGTATGTGCCACCATGCCTGGCTAATTTTTGTATTTTTAGTAGAGACAGGGTTTCGCCACATTGGCCAAGCTGGATTCGAACCCCTGACCTCAAGTGATCCACCTGCCTTGGCCTCCCAAACTGCTGGAATGACAGGTGTGAGCCACCGTGCCTGGCCAGGATTCTTTTAGAAGAGGCTGTAGTGAGCAGCATCTACCAGCTTGCATCCCTGTATGTTTCATATTTTAAGTGTTTGCTTGGGGAGTAAACCAAAGTAAAAACGTCCTTTCTCAAATTAAGAACGCGGAAAGATTTACTATTTTTTTTTTTTTTTTGAGACAAAGTCTCACTCTGTCGTCCAGACTGGAGTGCAGTGGTACAATCTTAGGATCTCAGCTCACTGCAGCCTCCACCTCCCGGGTTCAAGCAATTCTCCTACCTCAGCCTCCCAAATAACTGGGATGACAGGCCCACATCACCATGCCCGGCTAATTTTTGTATTTTTGGTGGTGATAGGGTTTCACCAAGTTGGTCAGGCTGGTCTGGAACTCCTGACCTCATGATCCACCCACCTCAGCCTTCCAAAGTACTGGAATTACAGGCATGAGCCACCTTGCCCAGCCTGGAAGTCTTTACTATACCTAAGATAGCAGTAGTCCTCAAGTTAATCTATGGATTCAACTCAGTCTCTGTTTAAATCCCTGATTGCTTTTTTGTAGAAATCAGCAAGCTGATCCTAAAATTCATATGGGAATAAAAAGGGACCTAGAATAACCAAAATTATTTAAAAAGAATAATGTTGGCAAGGTTATGTCGCTCAACTTCAAAACTTAATACAAAGCTAGAGTAATCAAGACTGTGGTACTGGTGTAAGGTTGACCATACAGACCCATGGAACAGATTTGAGAATCCAGAAATGAATGCATACTTTCATGACCAATTGATTTTTGGCAGCGGTGCTAACAGTCTATTGACAAAAGAATAAGCTTTTCCACAGATGATGCTGGGGCAACTGAATATCCACATGGAAAAGAATGAAGTTGGAACCTCATGTCATATACAAAAATTAACTCAAAATGGATCAAAAACCTAAATATAAGATCTAAAACTATAAAACTTTAAGGGAAAAAAATAGATATGTTTTGGATTTGAGAACGATTTCTTCAATACGATACCAAAAGCACAAGCCACCAGAGGAAAAAAAGATAAATCGAACTTCATCAAAATTTAATATTTTTGTGTTTCAAAAGATACTATCAAAAAAACAAAGACAACCCACAAAATGGGAGGGAATATTTAAGAAACAGCTATCTAATAATAGTCTAGTATTAAGGTTGAGTTCCATTCTTAAATGTACACGATACTGTATTAGTGAAGTTGAATTCCATTATTACCAGATGTATCTTTAAAGAAGTTTGTTTGGATCATGGGTCCAGTTACTTTCTCTGCCTTCTCCCTCCAAAGGACTTCTCAGTCTCAGTAATGTTATATACTAATTTCAAGGGGAACTACAACTCAAAACAATTCAGAAATCTGAAGCTTAAAAATTAATGGTTTAGTTGATGAAAGGGGAAAAGTACATTTAATTCATATCATATTTAGGTGTAAAGCACTTGATGTTATATTGCTTAATAGCTCTTCAGTGTTCTCATCATATGAAGTAAATAATAGAAAATTCTTTGTGGGTCACATGTCTGTTTCAGCCAATCAGAAACCAGGATTATTTTGTATGTAATAATAGGGTTTGTTGGAAGAGGAGCTATATATATGGTAGGACTTAGAGGATAGAGGGCCCTGCATATTAGGCCTTCTTAGTTGTAGCGAAGAGGCAATTGGTCTGGTATGTTTAGCTTTTTCACATTTACTTTTGAGATCTGACTCTGGAAATGTACAACCCTACCCTATCTTTTACGTTACAGGTTAAGATGTTATTTGCTTTTAATACTAATTAAGATAGCAGCATTGATCACTGCTTTTACTTTTGATGAAATAACTTAATGAGCTGTGAAGAAAATGTTACCAGATTTTAAGGGAGAGAGAATTTTATGAAATGTCTTTGAGGTTACTATCACCTTTATGAGAATGTCTTCGAAGTTTCCATCACCACCTCTACTAGTTTTTCTTCCGTCGGAGCCAGTGGACTTAGGTTCCATAACGAGCTCCTGTTGTTCACTGAATGAGACAGTATTTCCTCCCTTTTAAGGAAAATAGCAGCTGATATCAATGAAATTAAAGGAATGAAAGCTGCTATTTTGACAGTGGAAGCAATCTGTTTGGTCTAAATGTTAGAGGGCCCCAGAATGAAGCAAAACTTTCATCTTTTGAGGTTACAAATGAGTGAATATTCAGCAACATCTGAATACAATAGACAGTTTGAAGATCTTAAAGAAGTTACTGAATCACAGTCAAGACCTACTGATGTAAAAATAATTGGCTTCCTTAGAAACGTTGAGAAAGGTAAACTCTTAATATACAGTATCTTCTGGGTACTCATCCTTTTATCTGTATCTTTCCACGTGTGTAGCTCTGATATGGAGGGAGCAAGTTACAGAGAACTTGAATTTTTCATGGACCTTTAATGACAAATTTGGATTCTGCTTGATTTAACTTAGAAACCTAGAATTGATCAGAATTCCATCCTCTTTAATTGAACTCTCTAAAACGATGTTTTGAAAAGATAGATGAACCTAGAGCAATAAAGCAAGACTTGAAATGTGAAAGAGTCGTCTTTCATGTATCTGTGTGAAATTATTTTAAAATGCCCGATTCTTTCATCATCTACTGTTTATGTGAAGTCCTGTTGCCGTATTTGGATTGAAAGAGCCTTCTTCCTGTAACCTTTTACCTCAGTTCTCCAAGCTTCCCACAGGAATACAGCTTGACCTAAGTGACATCTTGGTTACAGTTCCTCAGAATGTGTACTTTTTTCGGTAATAATTCTGGAAGGAATTCACATTTTTGGGATGCACCAATAAAATGTCTTATAACATATGTTTTAAAAGAAATCACCTGATAAAATTTCAAATTGGGTATATCTTTTAAAATTTAAAAACACCTTTTAATGAAATGTGTTTGGTGGGAGATTGCCCACTACATCTTCGCACTGAGTAAGCAAAGCCTGTCCTTGTGAAGCCAACTGTAATGGATGTACCAAAAATTAGGATGTGGACATCTTAATAAGATTTCAGTATTTGCAACCCTATCAATTACGTCCCTTTGTGCACTGTAGTGCATTACCTTATAATGAGCAAGTGAGTGTCTGATGTCTGCTAAGCACTGTGGGGCTGCAGAAAAGTGTGACGTTCTCCCATCCTCAAGGACCTTAACACCAAATGGAAGAAAGAGAAAATCACTTCTTTGACCCTATTTTGTGCAGACTACTGAGCATATTATTATTAGAAATTGTGAACCTAATATTAGAAATTAATGTTATGAACCTGTTTTAGAAGAAATAAGTAGTTGAACATCTTTTCTTGTGGGAGAGCCAAACAGCTACTATCACGCTTCCTGACATCTGGTGTGGACTCCAGAGCTGACTGTCTTGTTTTCTTAGCATGCATCGAAGCCCATAGTTTGTCTTTTAGGAACTCTATATTTAGATGATTCTAGAGTGTTTTGTTTTGCTATTTGTTACCTTCAAAGGTCATGGGTGAGTGAGTCGTGATGGTAAGAGCCCAGGTGATGGAGGGAGGTGCGTGCCATCTTTATTTTGCAGTTGTCTGTGATGTGAGCTGCTGGGCCACAAGGTGCCTCTCCCTGGATTTTTCACCCTTTACCACCTTTACTTTCCCCGCAGAATTCAAATCCAGGAAAACTGATATCCCCACAGAGGGAGAACCAGGAGTGCCTTATGTCGGCACTCTCAGTTTAACCCTGAGGACAGCCTTTTTTGTCTTACAGGATATCCTTTGGTCCATAAATACTACTAAATTTCATTGCTGAAGCTTTAAGTTACTTTTAAGACTTTCAGTTAAGAACCCAGAAGGATTGATTTTTGGGAACCACATGCTCGTATTGTCTGTGTTGTAAGCTTAGTGAAATTTTAAAATTTATATTCTAGGAACTCAGTAGAGGCAATTATTATGCCGACTACAAATTGACCCAGTAATGGCAGAAACTCTGCAGATCAGTTGGGGTTGGTAATGTTTATAGTTGTACTGTGATCTAGCAATTTCAGTTGCCATTTCCATTTCTTACACCCCATTTAATGTATCTCATTATCTCTTAGATCCTGCCCTAAGATGTTATATTTAGATCTGTGAAAATATTTTAGGGCCAGGAGATAAGATCTGCGTTTTCTTCATGTTATGTAGTGTTTTAATATTTTGCCTCATTGGAAAGCTTTGTTCCGTTCACACCATTCCACGTGTGTCCCTAGCACTGTTGGCTGTCACTCTCTTGCTGTCAGGAATGACTTGAATTTCTGACTAGTCCTCTTACTCCACCCAGCTTTTGCCATTGCCATGAGTGACTTTTGTATCCTCTTTTTCACCTGGTTAGCCTTATCTTCTTGTACTTCACTTTGGAATCTTATCACCAGGGCCACACCTGGAACTTGTTCTAGAGCCACTTTAGTTTACCTGTTTTCCCTCCTCTTCCCACAGACACACATGCCAAGCGCTACTTCAGGACTGGAGCTGGCACCTTGGTTTTTATTGTCTCTGTCCTCAGTGCCCAGCCCCTGGAAGATGTATGTTCAGTGTCTTAAGAATGACTGCAGGAATGTCTCTCTCATTGCTTGATTTCCTTCCTTCCCTTCCCTCCCTCCCCCCTTTCCTCCATCCCTTCCTTCCTCCCTCCCTCCCTCCTTCCCTCCCTTCCTGCCTTCCTCCCTTCCTCCCAAAAAAAAAAAGAATGACTGCAGGATAAACACAGGCAACCATTAGCGACCCAGAATCATCTCAGTCCTGTTTCCCCTAAGTCTGTCCTTTGTGGGATGCTCTGGTCCCTTGACCTCTCCCAGTTAGTCCCTTCCTAGATTTTCTTTCCCTTCAGTCAGGACTCCACAGTGAGTCACTTTGTTCCTGACTCTTCCCCAGCTTTCCACCTCAGAAAGTGTGCTATACCTTCTCAAGGGTCAGCCTCCACCAGAGCCCAGATCCCACCAGATTGGTGAGCACTGACATGTCACTGCACTCCTCCAGCTTCATCCTCTGCCTCTTCTCTTCTGTCTGTAGAGGTGTTCAGACATTGCTCTCTCATCTCCCAGCAGTCCGTCCTGCCTCCTACACAGGAGGCTTTAAAAAGGTTGGCAGCCAGCCGGGCGTGGTGGCTCAAGCCTATAATCCCAGCACTTTGGGAGGCCGAGGCGGGTGGATCACGAGGTCAACAGATCGAGACCATCCTGGTCAACATGATGAAACCCCGTCTCTACTAAAAAAAAAAAAAAATACAAAAAATTAGCTGGGCATGGTGACGCGTTCCTGTAATCCCAGCTACTCAGGAGGCTGAGGCAGGAGAATTGCCTGAACCCAGGAGGCGGAGGTTGCGGTGAGCCGAGATCACGCCATTGCACTCCAGCCTGGGTAACAAGAGTGAAACTCCGTCTCATAAAAAAAGGTTGGCAGCCAAGGTCTGTGTGTGGGATCCACTTCAGTAGCTCTTGTGCATGTTTTCTGTTTCCTGGTGCTTTTCATTGTATCATAGTGCACGCAGTTTGAAACATCAGGGAGTTCTGTGATGCTTATGAATGACTGCAGTCCTTAGCTCCAATCACATTTTTTTATTCTAAGAGCCCTTTGTTTCCTCATATTCTATTACTTTTTAAAAAACATACTGATTTTGTTTTATGTATGCAATACTTTTTGTTATTTCTCTGAGGATATGAAAAGTTGTTTTGACATTTTTCCCCCTCCCTGCTTGGTCTTGTTTTCTGTAAGTGGTCTGTTTTGGTTGTCTTTTATGCTGGAGGTTTCTCTCTGATGTTTGGGGATCCTAGGTGGTCTTACATTTAAGAGTGGAGCACTCAGAAGCTCACTGGTACTCTGGGTTCATGAGTTGGGGCACGGGGTGCTCTGACTTTTTATTTGAAAATAGATCCTGTGTTGGGAAGCGATTTCTCTTGCCTGTCTAGTTTGGGGGCACCTTGATGGCACTGCCTTTAAGTCTTTGCTCTCAGGCTGGTCAGCTTCTCCAATAAAAGGTTTTTCAAGTAACAGCCTCGTAGTTAGAGTTCTGGGAGCTTAAGTGCGGATAGAAGGCTGTGGGAGGCACCTCAACATTAATTATTATGTAATGTTTACATAACCCTTCCCCCACCATTGTCACTTCAGTGCTGCTTTCATCATGGCTGGTGTCTCTTGGTCCAGGGACTCTGTTGTTACCCTCTGAAGAGTCTAAAGCTCCACTTTCTCCGAGGGAGAGTGCATGCAATGGGTAAAGTTTCATCAGGAAATCTAATTGCCTTTAGAAATTTTTAACAGTGTGCATCCAGTTGATTTTGTTGTAGCATCTTTCTGGCAGAGACCCTGATTACTTCATCCATAGACTTCTACGAGAATCTACAGGAAAGCATATCACCAGTCATCCCAGGTGTCTTCAGTGTAGAGGTTGGGATTGGTGTGGCAAGGACCAAAACCAAGAAAACAGTGGCTGGGCATGGTGGCTCATGCCTGTAATCCCAGCACTTTGGGAGGCCAAGGTGGGCAGATCACTTCAGGTCAGGAGTTCAAGACCAGCCTGGCCAACATGGCAAAATCTGATCTCCTCTAAAAAATACAAAAGTTAGCCAGGCATGGTAGTGTATATCTGTAATCCTAGATACTCGGGAGGCTGAGGCAGGAGCATCACCTGAACCCAGGAGATGGAGGTTGCAGTGAGCTGAGCTCACACCACTGCACTCCAGCCTGGGCAACAGAGCAAGACTGTCTCAAAGAAAACAGTTACCTGGAATTAGAGTTCAAGACCTAACTGCTTCTCAGAGGAACTAACGAACACCTCCAACGCCTCTTTTTTGCCTGTCATCTCTCTCATTTCTTCCCAAGGTCCCTTTTACTGCCAGTTCCTCAGCCTTTGGAGAATCTTGTGGTCTGAATAGGATTGCTTCATTATTGCCTTAGAATTCAGCTTTTACAGATCCTTTTAGTTCCTGATCATCTGTTTTTCACTTTCAAAATGTCTTTGTACACCTACTTTCTTAGTGAGTTTTTAAAACATAAAACCCTTATGGACATTTTTGTGGGCTTTCATGAGGGAACAAAAAGTAAATGCGTGGACTCAGCCTGTGGTCTTTTACTTAGAAGATGTTACTCCGTCTGGTCTCCATGTGACCCAGGCTGCTGACTTTCGGCTTGCAGAGAGGTGTGTGGGAGGGATAGTTCTGCTGCACGGTTTTCTAAACCCTGGAGTGTATTACACTTGGCTTCCCATACTTTCTCCAAGCTTTGACCTTTTGGCTTCCAGGATTTCACTGTCTGCATTCTTCTCCTTCCCTTTCATTCTCATGTATCAGCTCCTCTCCTCCACTCCTCCTTCAAAGGTTAGCTTTGCGCTCTCCCACCTTCAGCATTATTTTCATCTCTTCTGTGAAACTAGCAGAACTCGTTTGTCTTAAAAAGTGCAGGGTGGTGGCAAGGAGTGAAGGTGCCCCCTGGACCATTGGGCCCGTCTTTGATAGTGGTGAGACCTTGGTGAATCATTTAATAACTTGGAGCTGCAAATGGTCATCTATAACATGGGAGGAAAACTACTTTTTTTTAGGCTTTGAGTGAGGATTCAATGAGAAACGGCCACCTAAGTATGTTAAACACTCCTTTGTCACCTTCAGTTTGACTCAGCGTCTTCTGTACCTCCACCTACAGGTCAAATCTGAATTTTTACTTCCTCTTAAACATGGAGAGTCCCACAAAGACTTTAAATAAATCTAACACTGAAATGTACCTTTGTCCTCTTTAACTTTGCTCTTTTTCCTTTCCTAAGTTTCTCTCCCAGCTTTCTCTTCCACCTGTCTCCCTTTACCATCTGTACTCCCCTTGCTGGGGAAGGCGGGTGTGCCCCTTCCCAAGATGGAGTATGTCTTCTCTTCCTCTCAGCTGTATGGGACCAGGACAGATGGTGGGGAATCTTTTCATTCAGAGCCTCACCCTCTCTCCTGGCAACAACAGGTCAAGGATTCTGGTTCGTTCTTAACACTGTCTGTTTTTCTAAAAACCAATTTGATCAGGTCACTTCCCTTCTTAGGACCTCTCTTGATTTCTTTTTTCTTTTTTTGGTTTGAGATGGGGTCTCCCTCTGTCACTCATGCTGGAGTGCAGTGGCACAATCATGCTCATTGTAGCCTTGACCTCTTAGGACCAAGCACTTCTCCCACCTCAGCCTCCCAAGTACCAGGTAGGTGGGACTACAGGCATGTGCTGCCACACCTGGCTGGTTTTTTTTTTTTTTTTTTTTTTTTCTGGTTGATGAGAGGTCTCACTATGTTGCCTAGGCTGGTCTCAAACTCCTGGGCTTATGGAATCCTTGTGCCGTGACCTCCCAAAATGCTGGGATTATAGATGTCAGCCACCATACCAGGCCTCTTGATTTCTGACTATGTAGAAACCAGAATCCAGAGTCACTGAGGAATAGAAGAAAATTTATTATATATGTCAGCCTTCCTTGCCATGCACCGCTGATCCCACCACACACACCCAGACATTCCACATTGTAGCCTTTCACAGATACCTTCGGCCTTGTGAAAGTCCCTTTCCTTCTATGTGCGTTTTCCTCTGCCTCAAGTGCTGTGTTTGTGCCTCTGACTCTCTTCTCGTTTATTCCTGCTCATTCCTTTATTGCCAACTTCAGATGTTCCTCCTTGGTAAGCTTTTCTTTGGTTCTTGGCTGGAATGGGCTGCTCTGTATTCTCAGCACCTTGTTGGCATTCCTTTTGGGTCATGCTGTTCTGAAATTGTGTATGTGTCTATTTTTCTCTTTTACTTGTGTACCTAGCTCAGTTCTCTTAGTTGTTCAGTAAATAACTCAGTGAATGAATGTGAATGAATATCTTGTGAATTTTGGTCTCTAAGCTTTAAAAGAAATGTATTAACTTTAGTCTGTTGATGGCATATTGACAGGTCATCCATATCCATTCTGGGTTGTAGGTCTTGGCATATTTTATAAAATAGCCTTAAGCATATTGTAGATGATGTGAGCTTATGGGTTTTGCATTAAAGGCCAGTGTTTTTCTTGATACGCATGTGTAAGTGCCCATTCATCTTTCAGTTCCCTTTAAAAGTCCTCGGACTGCAACCAGTTGGAAATTATGCCACTTGAATTCTTTTTATCAGGACGTGATTCTTAGCTGTAAGTGGTACTGTGTGAGGTGAACAAACCAGATTTTTGAAAAGTGGTTCAGTAGTCTATTATAATTGTAGGGAGCCTTACGACTCAGATTCTCCAGGTTTTTAGAAGAGACTGTTGCACTTTAAGGGTATATTGTTAAGACCTCATTAGATGCCTCACCTGAGAACCTTTCTCTGCTCTAGGTAGGGAGTGTTAATCAAAATCACTTGTACTGTTCCCTGGAGGAAAGGGCTCTTTGAGTTCTTTGAAAACATGTTTGGAATAGAATTACAGCCCTATTTTCCTGAGTGGAACCAGTTGTGATTTTCCTTTGAAATAATTTGAATATATAAAAGATTGACGTTCTTCTCACATGTATGATGTTGGGAATGCAAGGTATATTCAAAAGTAAACATTTGTGGCCAATTTTTTTGGCTCAGATTACTATGACATGGAATCCATGGTCCATGCAGACACAAGATCATTTATTCTGAAGAAGCCAAAGCTGTCTGAGGAAATAGTAGTGGCACCAAACCAAGAGTCGGGGATGAAGACTGCAGATTCCCTTCGGGTACTTTCAGGACACCTTATGCAGACACGGTAGATGGTTTCTTTTTCTTGTGTAGTTAATTTGTGTGATTAGATAGTACAGGTTAATCATTCATTTGCAGTTTTCCTCCTCCCTGCCCCAGCCCCTAGTAGAATGCTTTCAGTGATTCAGTAGCTAGCCTATGAATAGTTAGCCAAATTCAGTTTTCAAGAATTCCAGTTCATCTTTCTTGTTCCGAAATCCATTAACCCACAAAATAGAGCTCAGTGTATGATTTAACTCTATTAAGATTCTTTTCTTTATGCAAATTCAGGAAATGCAAGTTTAAAAGCCAACTGACCCTAAGCAGATCAGGTTTGGGTGATTTTTTATCCTTAGAAAATTGACTGATTCTATAAAGGAGCAGACATACAGATAATGAATTAGCATAAATGCTGCTGGCCCTTGTGTTCTGAACATTGATGCTAATTTTTTGGTTTATTTCCATGTTGACCCTATGAGGATCAAATGGGTAATGGGGTCAGGCTTGAGGGGAGATTGTCCTTAGTAAGTGCAGGCCAGAGGGTCACTGGCAATGATGCCACTGTGACTGGCCTTGGTCATTGTATATTAGTAGGGAACCCCCCCCTCAGTGCTGCACCTGGAAGCCTTACCTAGTCTTTTTTTATTGAACCAAACACTAAGCAAGGGAGTGATAGTTCTACTGAAGAGCACTTGAGGGGGCTCAGCATTTTGTGTTTGTTTCCCTAATTCTATGGTATTTTTTATCTGTCTGGCAGAGATCTTGTACAACCAGATAAACCT